AAGGGCCTTCATGTTGGCCTGTGGTCTGATACAAATAAATGCAGTTGCATATGGCTGTGAAACAGCACAGCAGTAGGGGCAGGGAGGCACACAGCAGGGCCATCAAGGTACAGGAGCGAGCGTTTCCTGATTTGGCACAGACCTTGGGGCAAGCAGTGGCAGGGAACATAATTATATGGTATCTCCTGCTAGATTTGTTGAGTGCACAGTTTAATTTACTATGGCTGAGCTAGCTTGCCACTTGCCTTTCTATAGATACAAATTTGGGAAAGCAAATGTTAGTTAAACTTAAATGTGTTTTAAAAAAAAATTTTTTTTAAATCCCCAGAGCTGATTGATACCAATATGGTTTAATATTGGCTTTAAATGAGATCATGAATGAGTATTCTTCTATACTCATAAAAGTATAGAAGATACTATACTATATATACTATTCTCACCAAGTCAAGGCTGTTACTTCAACCATATTGATTCTATGCAGTTATACCCCATCTTATCCCAAGCTTTTATATGTATAGAAATATAAAATATATATATTACATATATATCTTATGTAATTTCCTACCCATCTTGGGTAAATGTTTGTTTTCCTTCAGAACGTAACCTGTTACTCTGCGTTCTTGACTTGCTGCTCGCCCTTTTGTGCTAAAATATATGTATACGTAAACTGCAATGGTCCTAAGAGCCTGTTGCTTCTTGTGCTTTTCTGGTGGGTGGGGGAAGGCAATTGGGAGAAGAGCAGTAAGGAAAACCAAAGGTTTTGCCTGTTCGTAAGTTAATCTTTGAGTATCTTACAAGAAGAAATAATTAATCATCCTTTTTTAGGTTTATGCACAGCTGAGTAACCGCAGTACTAACCCAGGAGCACAGCCTGTTCACCCATCTTGTCACCTCTACCGTCACATTCCCGAGCTTTTTACTTTCTCAGTTATTCTGGCTGTGGGGGCAGTAGCAGAAGGCATGTTAGTTTTCCCTAGGATAAGAAATTTCTTACTCTGCAGAATCTTTCTCAAGCCTATTAATTTCATTTGAGAGTACATATGAAATAATAAGACGGTTTAGAAGCGTGATATTTGACACTTACTATGGTATCCTCTTGATTGTGTTTATTCAGGGTCATGTTTTCAGAGCTAGATTTTAGGCTGAACTTACAGTTCTTCATTCCTGTCTTTTTCATTCACGTGGTCAGGGATGTAGATGCTCAGTTTGAGCCTGTTGGTACTGAAAAATAGGAAAACCCAGTTTGAAATGGAATGTACTTTTAGAGGTTACATCTGAAAGAAAACATTATTTACTCCATAATGGTAGTTTTCATAATATTTTAATAGTTGCGTTCAGATACAACTTGACCTTAAATATTGCCCCAAATGCAAGCTGTTTTTTAACATATTTGTAATGCTAAGGTCTTCATTACTGTAATATTCTGTTTGCGCAAGGATTATAATCCACGGATATACCGTGTTACGGTTGAAATAAAGCTTTGGTCCTGTAGTTGCTGCCTCTTGGATTTCAGTGTTGCATTGCATGTACGAGTTGGATGTCAGTCGGTGCCTGCTGTAGCCAAGCGTGTGGACAGTGAGTACACCGGCGATAAATACTTTGCTTAGGTACGGTGCTTATTTTCCTCTGACACTGATCTGAAATATTAATCTGCTGAGTGAAGATTAGAGTCTCAGAAGTTTATTGCTGAAAAATCCAAATGTAATGAATCCCAGATCGATTATTGGCACTCTTCCTATTGTTTCACAGTAACTGTGTGCTAAATTACTTCAGATATGCGATTGCTAGCAAGATATGGATAAAGATACCTAAACCCTTGCAAAGGAAACAGGTGGGGAAAAACCCTGGTTCTTTAGTGCATCCTCCTGCTGTGTGAAGCTCTTTGTCTTTGCCATAAATAGGGTGATTTAATTTGGGAATTTGCTACCCCTTTTAAACACAGCTGAAACAGCTCTTGAAAATGCCCTGAATTGTACCCGCTGTGTATGTAGTCTTCCAGTTGTATCTTTTTCATTTGAGTTACTTCGCGTACGTTTGTTTTTAACGCGTACAGATAGGAAGTATGCTCGCTTCTTCCCATAAGTTTTATCACTAGTGATGATGATCTTAAAAATAAACGTGTGGTGTTCTTTCTCCTCACTCTCAGTCGTGTCACCTACCAGAAAGCCCTAATAGGCAACAAAATAGTGTGAGACGGTATTTACATCACACTTTTGAAACAGATTCGAGCAGAGCCAGCTGCCGTAAGATTATTTTACAAATATATTGCAGATTAATAAAAGGAAAATGTTGCCGTCCTTTAAGTAAATTACAGTCTCCTTGACTAATTACAGAGCTTGAAGCCGCAGTAAATTAGTACCTGCCTCACAGCGGTGTTGGGAAACGTGATTTTGGTTTCCAGACTTGCATTTCTTTACCCATTTAGTTTATATGTGTTCCCAATAGCTGCATTCACGGTGCTCTAACTGTTGCTCAATAAAAGCTTCCGGAGGATAATTCGCTTAAGTGAACCACATGCCTGCAGCTTTGTTAAGCGCGGTCTAACCTGCGCGCCTCCCCGGCAGCGGGCCGCGGCTGCGCTCGCCTCCGCTCCGGGGCTTTGCGGAGCCTGCCCGAGGGGTAGGGCTGCTCCAGGCGCTGGAAAGCCTCAGCCGAGCGGCTGGGGGGGGGGGAGGAGGGGGCGGGTGGGGGGGGGGAGGGTTGCGCT